GGGGCCTGTCGGGGGGTGGGACACAGGGAGGGGAACATCACACACTGGGGGGCCTGTCAGGGAGTAGGGTGCAAGGGGAGAGAGAGCATTAGGACAAATGCCTAATGCATGCAAGGCTTAAAACCTAGGTGATGGGATGATGGGTGCAGCAATCCACCATGGCACATGTATACCTAGGTAACAAACCTGCACATTCTGCACATGTATCTCAGAACTTAAAGTAAAATTTAAAAAAATAAAATAAAATCTTTGGTTTTTACAGCTTTTGGGATTTTAGGATTGCAGATAAAGGATTATGGAGCAACAACAAAAATGATGACACCTGATAATGGCAGTGGAAATTGTTTATATAATGGCCATACACATCACAGTATTCTAAGCACCCACATATTACTAACTCATTTAAACCTCTCAGCCTTATAAAGTAGGTATTATCATCAATCTCGTTTACAGCTGAGAAACTGAAGCAAATCACTTCCACTAAGGCAATCTAGTCTCAGGACGTGTGCTCTCTGTTACTCAGAGTACAAGGCACACTTTTCTGAGGCCCTCCAGCGCACGCACAAAGACACCACCTCTCCTACCTGATCTCTAGCCTACCACTCAGACACTGGCCAAGGTAGCAACTAATGTGAAAGATCATGACACCACCTCTCCTACCAGATCTCTAGCCTACCACTCAGACACTGGCCAAGGTAGCAACTAATGTGAAAGATCATGACCTAGAGTCATCAAGGCTAAGACATATTTTATATACTCTGTTTATGAAAGCAAAGAAAGGTATATGTTTTACAGTGAATTCTATTCAAAATTGATTATGGAAAAAAAGAAATTAGTACTTTAAGGAAAGCAAACTCTTGGCTCTCCACAAAATTACATTATAAAAACAGCTAAAATACCCAATAGGGTTCTGCATGGCTAGGGCTTTATTATAAAATTCAAAAATTCAAATAGTAACTTTTAAATAATAATGCAAAGTCTTAGACAAAATATGATACGTAGATTTTGCAACAAAAATAATTTATATAAAAGGTAGAGGTTCAGAAAATGCTGCTGGGTTAACTATTTTTAACAATTTGCCATACAAAATATTGCTTAAGACCTTCCAAAAATAGCTGGGCACAGTGGCTCACACCTTTAATCCCAGCACTTTGGGAGGCCAAGGCAGGTGGATTGTTTGAGCTCAGGAGTTCAAGACCAGCCTGGGAAACATGATGAAACCCCATCTCTACCAAAAATATAAAAAATTAGCTGGGTGTGGTGGCACACACCTGTGGTCCCAGATACTCAAGAGGCTGAGGCGGGAGGATGGCTCGAGCCTGGAAGGCAGAGGTTGTGGTCAGTTGAGGTCGTGGTATTGCACTCTAGCTCGAGCGCCCCAGAGAAAGACCTGTCTCAAACCAACCAACCAACCTTCTGAAAATATTCTAGCTCTATGAGAGAGAAGAAAAAGAAATAATACCACAATGCAACTCACCTGACACTGTGGCTTTCCCAGATATGGGGTTTGGTGTGGACACGAGGGACGTGGTGCTGACAACGGTGGGGGTGGCAACCTTGCAGGTCCCCACGGTGGCCTGGCTCACACACACTTGTGGTTGCCCAGAAGTTTTCGTCACAGAACTGACAGTAGATGAAGACATGGGAGCCATTCCCTCAGACTGCTCACCCATGGGGCCAGAAACAACACAGGAAGAAAGCAGGGTCAATGACCAAGAACGGTGACTGCCACAAAGCACACACAGTAAATATTATCTGTGACTATTTATTAAGTGCCATGCCATTTACGAAATATTACTTCTCTAGTTCAATGGTTCCTATACTTTTACATTTTGTGGAACAAGATAGTTTTAACAATTTAAAACAAGGAGGTATCACAGAGTGATCACATTTTTAAAAATCACCACCTATAATATCCCTTTATAAGAGGCAACTGCATCGCCAAAAAACTAGGAGGATATATTCTCAGAACATACACACGGACTAAAAGTGAACTTTAGTGCTTCTTGGCAGAAGACGGTATGCAGAAAGTTGGTGGGGCACGAAAGAACACCATGTTCAAGGAACTGCAGAGCAGAATGGTCTGACTAGTGAAGAGGCACAGGAGGAAAAGCAGCAGCTGAAGGAGATGACGCTTGAGAGGTCAGGTCACATCATTCAAGCCCGTGGGCTTCCAAGACAATTGAGAGATGGTTTTTCAACAAATGTTGCTAGGCCCATTGGATATTTACATTAAAAAAGAAAAGTTTGGTGTCCATCTCACACCATGTACAGAAATCAACTAGAAATGAATCTGAGACCTAAATATAAGGGCTAAATGTATAAAACTCTTAGAAGAAAACATAGGCTTGAATTTTGTGGTTTTGAATGAGGCAATGGTTTCTCAGATGTGACATCAAAAGAATAAGCAATAAAAGAAAAACAGGTAAATCGGGACTTTATTAAAATTAAATACTTGTGCTGGGAAAACTGGATATCTTTATGCAGAGGGATGAAACTAGACCCCGGGCTCTCACCATGCACAAAAATCAAATCAAACTGGATGAAAGACTTAAATCTAAGATACCAAACTATGAAACTACTACAAGAAAACATCAGGGGAACTCTCCAGGACATTGGTCTGGGCTAAGATTTCATAATTCCTCAAAAGCACAGCAACCAAAACGAAAACGGAATAAATAGGAACACATCAAGTTAAAAAGCGTCTGCACAGCAAAGAAAACAATCAACAAACAGACCACCCACAGAATGGGAGGAAATACTGGCAAACTACATACACATCTGACAAGGCTTAATAATCAAAATATATAACAAGCTCAAACAACGCTACAGAAAAAAGCCAAATAATCTCATTTGAAAATGGGCAAAAGATCTGAACAGATATTTCTCAAAAGAAGACACATAATTGGCCCAACAGTTATATAAAAACATGCTCAACATCATTAATTGTCAGAGAAACGTAAATCAAAACTACGAGAAATCATCCCACCCCAGTTAAAATGGCTTTCATCCAAAAGACAGGCTGGCGAGGATGTGGAGAAGAGGGAACCCTCGAACACTGCTGGTGGGAATGTAAGTTAGTACAACCACTATAGAGAACAGTATACAGGTTCCTCAAAAACCAAAAACAGAACTATCATATGATCCATATCCCATTGCTAAGTATATACCCCAAAGAAAGGAAATCAGTACATAATTTCTGCATGCCCATGTTCACTGCAGCACTATTCACAACAGCCAACATTTGGAGTCAACCTAAGTGTCCACCAACAGATGAATGGATAAAGAAAATGTGGTACATATACATAATGCAATATTATTCAGCCATAAGAAAAAATGAAATCCTGTCATTTGCAACATGGATAGAACTGGAGGACATTATGTTATGTGAAATAAGCCAGGCACAGAAAGAGAAATTTCACACGTTCTTACTCATGTGTGGGAGCTAACAATTAAAACAACTGAACTCATGAAGACAGAAGAATGGTGGTTAACAGAAGGTGGGAAGGGTAGCACAGGCGGGGAGGGAGTGGGGTTGGTTAATGGATACAAAAATATAGTTAGAACAGATGAGTAAGATCTAGGATTTGATAGCACAACAGGATGACCAAAATTCGCACTAATTTCTTGTATATTTTATAGTAACTAAGAGAGAATTGGTTAAAAAATAATAATAAATGCTTGAAGTGGATACCTCAATTACCCTGATGTGATTATTACATATTGTATGTCTGCATCAGAACATCACATGTACCCTGTAAATATCTACATTGATTATGTACCAGTAATCATTTAAAAATTTTAAAAAGGAATGAAAAACAAAATTAAAAACTTTTGTGATTCAATACTATCAGGAAAGTGAAAGCACAGCTCAGAGAGTGAGAAAATTTTTGCAAATCTGATAGGAGACATATCTAGAATATATAAAGTACTCCTACACCTCAATGATTAAAAGACAACCAACTAAAAAATGGGCAAAGGATGTAAACAGATAAAAGATACACAAATAGCCAATAAATATATAAAAAGATGCTCAATATCATTAACTATCAGGGAACTGCAAATGAAAGTCACAATGAAATATTACTTTACACCCACTACAATAGCTGTAAGTTTAAAAAAACTGGAGAAGAACAAGTTTGGGTGAGTTTGTGGAAAAACTGGAACCCTCATCTATTGCTGGTGGGAATCTAAAACAATCTACACACTTGGGAAAACAGTTCGTCAGTTCCCCAAAATGTTAAAAAGAGTTGCCATATAATCCAGCTACTCCATTCCTAGGTATACAGCCAAGAGAAATCAAAACGTGTTTATACAGAAACGTGTACACAAATATTCACCAGAGCATTATTTACAATAGTCAAAAAGTAGAAAATAATCCAAGCACCCATCAACTGATGAATGGATAAACAAAATACGGTATATCCATCAAACTGAGTATGATCCACCCATGAAAAGGAAAATGTATTGATGTAAGCCACAACATGGATGAACTCTGAAAAGTAACGGTAAGCAACAGAAGCAGATCCAAAAGGCCATGTTATATGACTCCCTTTATATAAAATGTCTGAAATAGACAAATCCAGAGAGAGAAAGTAGGTCAGCAGTCACCTAGAACTACAGGAAAGGTGGGTACTGGGCTTCCTTCTTGGATGCTAAAATGTTCTGGGATTAGATGATGTTAATGACAGTTGCACAGCCATGTGAATATTAACAAACATTACTGAACTGTAGACTACAAAATGAGGACTTTGATGGTATGTGAATATTTATTTGTTTTTTAAAGCAATAGTTCAGTTTTTTTAAAAGGTCCACTGGTGTGCCTGCTGAATCTTCCTTGTATTTATAGCACTTAGATGTTTCATTAGGATTCTCTACTGATATGCTACTTCTCACCTGTTGTGCAGGACCGTTTGCTGAGAGGGCCACGGCCGGGGAAGTGGCAGTGGTGATGACCCCTCCAGCCACTCTCAGCATTGTGGTTCCAGGCTTTGAGAGCTGCGAGGTGGCTGGCACAGTCTTCAAGGTGCTGTCAGATATTTTCATTAGAGATGCCTGTCCTCCATGGGCTGCCTGCAGAAACAAAAAGAGCAGAAGGAATAACGCTGCCTTGGATAATGGGCATAACTCACTCCTTATTGAGAGTTGAGATACGCCCCAAGAACTGGAGAATATCCAAGAAAGTCTTACCAATCGAACCTACACGAGGTGTTTATGCACCTTTCTAACAAGCTCTAAATTTTATGACCTTTCACCTGTAAATATCCCTTCATTCCTAACACAGAACAAGTAAATAAATGCATTTGCAAGTTACTATTTGGCAGCAGTGTCTTCAAAGGTAATAGGTCAGTTGTTTTCAAAATAATTGATTACAATGTGCTCTTAATTGATTACAATGTACGCATTATCTCTAAACATGAAAATCAACCCTAGGCAGGACCAGATTTAAAGGGGTAAGTTAATGGTCTTCTAAATTAGATACAAGCTTAGCATTTTAGAACTGGAGAACCATTTACAAATTACCTATTTTTTATTTTATTTTTTGAGATGGAGTTTCGCTCGTTTCCCAGGGTGGAGTGCAATGGTGCGATCCTGGCTCACCACAACCTCCGCTTCCCAGATTCAAGAAATTCTACTGCCTCAGCCTCCCAAGTAGCTGGGATTACAGGCATGCACCACCATGCCTGGCTAATTTTGTATTTTTAGTAGAGACGAGGTTTCTCCATGTTGATCAGGCTGGTTTTGAACTCCCAACCTCAGGTGATCCGCCCACCTCAACCTCCCCGAGTGGTGAGCTTACAGGTATGAGCCACCATGCCTGGCCTTTTTAATTTTTTTAGAGACAGGGTTGAGGCTGCTGCACTCCAGCCTGGATGACAGAATGAAACCCTGTCTCAAAATCAAAACAAAAACTTGAAACAGAACTACCATATGATTCAGCAACCCATGTGTATATATCCAAAAGAAAATAAATCATTCTATCAAAAAGAGGCATGCACTCCTATGTCCATCACTGCACTACTCACAGTAGCAAAGACATAGAATCAACCTAGGTACCCTTCAATGGTGTACTGCATATACCACAGGATACTACACGGCCACGAAATGTAAGAAATCATTTATTTTGAGGCAACACAGATGCAACTGGAGGCCATTATCCTAAGTGAATTAATGCAGGACAGAAAACCAAATGCTACATATTCTCACTTATAAGTGGGAGCTAACCACTGGGTACATGTGGACACAAAGATGGCCACAGTTAAGAGATGGGGGAATATTAGATGGGGCAGAGAGAGAAGGGTTAAAAACTATTGGGTACTATGCTCACTCCCTGGGTGACAAGATCAATCATGCCCCAAACCTGAGCAAGATGCAATGTACCCATGTAACAAACCTACACATGTACCCCCTGAATCTAAAAAAAAAAAAAAAAAAAGCTGAAATTATAAAAAACAAAGAGCAGCAACAACAAAAACGGGAAGCCTTGGCCATACTTTGCTGAAATCTGGTCTAAATGACTGCTCAGTGTCACAAATTAATGCACTCCACACCATTTATCAGTTTCTGAGATCTTACTATGTGCCAGGAAGAACGGAAAGCACGTGTACATATCTTATATCATCATAAGTCACTATTTTCACTGTTAGATTAGTGAATTTTAGTCATGTCTTAGCGACCAAGAGATTAATTTAAGCTCAGTGACTTTACCAGGGTCACACAGCTAGCAGTATCTGAAGAAGTTATGACTAGATTCCACAAGAAATAGCCATGGCATAATTTGCACTGGAGCTTTATGCGAATAATAACCACAACAAGATATGACTTTGCACTCACAACAATGGCTAATATGAAAAAGAATGACAATCCTCCGTGTTGGTGAGGATATAGAGTAAATGGAACTTCTTCATATTACTTTGGGAGAGTCAAACAGGACAACTATTTTACTAAACCATTTGTCAGTTTCTAATAAACATATACCTACCCTATGATCAGGCTGTTCTGCACAAAAAGATCTGTATAAGAACGTTTACAGCAGTTTTATTCACGACAGCAAAAAAACAAACAAATGGAAATAATCCAAACATCCATCAACAGGAAAGTGGAGTCATGGAACAAAAACAGAGTAACTCTGGCTGGGTGCAGTGGCTCACACCTGAAATCCCAGAACTTTGGGAGGCTGAGGCAGGTGGATCACCTGAAGTCAAGAGTTCAAAACCAGTCTGGCCAACATAGTGAAACGCCATCTCTACTAAAAATATAGAAATTAGCTGGGTGTGGTGACAGGTGCCTGTAATCCCAGCTACCTGGGAGGCTGAGGCAGGACAATTGCTTGAACTTGGGAGGTGGAGGCTGCAGTGAGCTGAGATCATGCCATTGCACTCCAGCCTGGGCAATAACAACAACAAAAAAACTGTCTCAAAAAATCCACAAAAACAAAAAACAACACACACAACAACAAAAACAAACAAAAACAGAAACTCAAGAATGAAAAATAAACTATTATACATACAGATAAATCTCAAAACCTTATTCAACAGAAGCTAGACATAAAAGACTACATACTATATAATTCCACTGATATGAAGTTCAAGAAAGACAAAAGCTAATCTAAGGTGAAAGAAAGAGAAACAGTGATAGGAAAATATTTTTTTTTTCTTTAAAGACACAGTGTTGCTCTATCACCCAGGCTGGAGAGCAGAGGCTGGAGAGCAGAGAGCATGGCTCACAGTAGCCTCAACTTCCCAGGCTCAAGCCTTCCTTCCACCTCAGCCTCCCAAATGGCTAGAACCACAGGCATCTACCACCATGCCCAGCCTTTTTTTTTTTTTTTTTTTGGGTAGAGACAAGGTCTCCCTATGTCACCCGGGCTGGCCTCAAATTCCTGTGCTCAAGTGATCCTCCTGCCTCAGCCCTGCAAAGTACTGGGATTACAGGCAGGAGCCACGGTGCCTAGCCCACAGAATGTTTTAAGAGTGATAAAACTATCCTGTATCTTTATTGTGATACTGATTGCATGAATACACAAATTTGTCAAAACTCACCGAACAGCACACTTACAATCTATGTATTATTTTATATCTTAAAGGATGCGGGGCTAAAAGGAAAAAGCATTTAAAGCTTTGAATTTTCTTGAGCATGATTTGGGTTGTTTCCATAGGTTTTAATATGAAGTACTGCTGTGATGGTTAATTTTATGTCAACTTGAGTGGGCTGAGGGATGCCCAGATACCTGATAAAATATTATTTCTGGAAGAAACCAGCATTTGAATCAGTAGACAGAGTAAAGAAGATCCACCCTCACCAACGTGGGCAGATATCACCCAATCTGTCAAGGACCTGAATAGAACAAAAAGGCGGACAATGGGCGAATTCTCTCTCTCTCTCTCTCTCTCTTCTTAAGCTGAGACAACAATCTTCTCCTGCCCTTAGACATCAGAGCTCCTGGTTCTTGGGCCTTCAGACTCCAGAACTTAACACCAGTGTGCCCCTCACTCCCATCCCTGCCGGTTCTCAGGCCTTTGCAATCAGACTGAATCCACCACTAGCTTTCCTGATCCTCAGCCTGCTAACAGCACAATGTGGAACTCCTTGGTCTCCAGAATCACATGAGCCAATTACCGTAAAAAATTTCCTCTAAATATATATATGTGTTCTATTTGTTCTGTTTCTCTGGAGAACCCTAATAAAATTGTCATTTGTATTAACAGCTAAATCATCCATAATTTATTTGGATTTTTTTGATCCAAGAATTTAGAAAAGTATTTTAAAGTTTTTTGGTAATTGTTATTGATTCGACTTTATTGAGTAACAGAATGAAGCACATTGAATGCTACTTTTGAAATATGCTAAGAGATTCTCTTTGTGGCCAAGAAATTTGTTAATGTTCCATAGAGATACAAGCAAAATGTGTATTCGCTGTTTCAATGATACAGAATTAAGCCTGTTAGTAGTGTTATTCCAACACAAATCCTTTAAAATACAAAAAGATTTATCCATTTGATTAGCTAAATGCACATGTTAAAATTCTTCTCTGTGACTGTAGTTTTATCAAATTCTCCTCATATGCCTAAGTCTTTGCACTTCAGGTATTTTGCTGCCGCAGAGTTCACTGCATAAACATTTGTGCCATTTTATCTTCACAGTGGACAGCAATACTCCTCCCAGCACCAAATCCGAAAAACTAGAAAAGACACAAATAAATAAATGTATTCTACTGGTTGTGTTCAAAAAATAGTTGAAGACCGCAATACTGGACAAGAAACTATGAAAAACAGACAAGAGGCTGCAGAAGAAAGCCTCACCAAGTGATAAAAGCCTTATGCAGGACGTGCTGGAAGCATCTACCACAGAGTATGGAAAAAACGCTAGAGATATGGGCCACATCTGGAGATGGCAGAAGCTCGAGGCAACCAGAAGGGTGGCATGTTGGGCGCTGCAGCAAGAGCAGCCAGTTCTGTTCAGCTCCCAGCGCTCTCCAGGCCCTGCGCCCCCGCCTCCTCCTTCCTGTGGAGCTTGCTGTGGTGGTTTGAGATACACACACATATGTAGCTGGAAAAGGAAGAGTATTTTAACAGCTCTTTCAAATACTGTTGTTATGTTTCTCCGATGCTACGCTAAAGCTAAACAAGTGGATGCTTCTTCAAGTTTAGTTGTATTATGCAACCTGAAACCACCACAATTTAAAGTTTTCTCTGTTAAATCTCGAGTCGGAAAAGTAAAAAAACAAAAAAATAAAAATAAATAAAGTTTTCTTTGTCAAGTTAAAATCCGTTGGTCAGGGACTTTTGCTTCCACGTAGGAAACAGAAGGCTGTCAAGCATGTTGCTCCAACCCTAACAAGAAAAGGCTGGATACACTACAAAATCTGATTTTTCTGAAACATATTTGAGGGCTGAAATCTCAAAGTAACCAAATAACCTGGAGATGAAAGACAGCCAGTCCCCGCAAGGAGGGAAGGGCAATAGTAACTGTCTCACCTGGGCCCCAGCTGCAACACAAGCAAGTATGAAATCTGAGGGCGATTTAAAAGAACTGCCTACAGTGAAGAGTGGGCCTTGGATCTATTTGACATGGGTAAGGACATCCATCTGACAAAAAGGAAATTAGGACACCAAATGCTGGTAATCCAAAAAGATCAATACAATTGATAAACCTCTAGAGTTAGACTGATCAATACAAAGAAAAAACACATCAATACCAAAAGCAAGAATGAAAACAGGGGCTGGGTGTGGTGGCTTATGCCTATAATCCTAGAATTTTGGGAGGCCGAGGTGGGTGGATCACCTGAGGTCAGGAGCTCGAGACCAGCCTGGCCAACATGGTGAAACCCCGTCTCTACTAAAAATACAAAAATTGGCCAAGCATGGTGGTGGGCACCTGTAATCCCAGCTACTCGGGAGGATGAGGCAGAAGAATCACTTGAACCCAGGAGGCAGAGGATGCAGTGGGCTGAAATCGTGCCACTGCCCACAGCCTGGCACAGAACAAGACTCCATCTCAACAAAAAAGAAAAGGAAAGAAAAACAAACTTAACAGTCCCATATCTGGTAAATAAACTGAAACTGTTAGTTTTAAACTGTAGTATAAAAACTTTCTCAATTAGGAAAACTCCAGGCCAATATGGCTTTTACTGGTATATTCAACTAAACAGATAAGAAATAGTACCAATTCTATACAATTTCCTCCAATATAGAGAAAGGAAGGAAAAGCTTCCACTTCATTTTATGAGGCCAGTATTACCCTGATACCAAACCAGATAGCAATTACTAAGAAAACTACTGACCAATATCCCTTGCAAAAATTCTAAAGAATTTTATCAAATTAAATCCAATAACATATTAATAAAGGATAATATATGACAACCAAGTGGGCTTTCTCCCAGGAATGTATGGCTGGTTTAACATTTGAAACATCCATCAATCCATCAATGCAATTCACCATATTAACAAACTAAAAAAGAAAAGACAGAAAAAGCATTTGACAAAAATCTAATATTCATTCCACATTCTGATCTACATATAGGCAGAGAAAATACATTATTTTTGATGCATGGTATCATGTTACACGAATATATCCTTCTGTGCTTTTGTTTCACATTTGTATGTTCTGAAGATCTAGGTATAGGATCCTCCTATAAATGATGATGGTATCCCTCACCCAGTTAAAATTCCTTGTCATTATTTGGCTTATGCTAAAGAATACTATAGAAATGTAAACCAAGCCCACTGTAGCGCTCACTGTCTGGAGACTGTAGCTTAAACTGGCCCATTCTGGATCTTCTATGTGAAGTCCCTCTGGAGAAATTTTTACAACAAAGTGTCAAGAAAGCTTTGTTTCTTTTAAAGAAATACATGCTTTTTCACTCTCACCAATAGTGTGACTTTAAAGCTGACCATGCTTCTCATTTTGCCTTTGTTATCGAATTTATACCTAGATTTTATTAACTGTGCAAGATATCTTAACTGTTTGCATATCAGAATAACCCCTGTGGCCTTAATTTTCTCATTCTACTTATATTTTCCCAAACCTCAAGATTTTTGTTTTTCTATATAATTTGGTATTTTGCTGG